TGATTTGAAACAGTCTTGGTCTTTATCTTCGGTCTAGTGTCTTTTTTTGTAGCTCGTTTGTAAAATACAACTTCCATTTATTTTGTTGAATAAGACAATATGTTGTTGTTGAATTTTTTGTTTGCGCTCTATTTTATGAATGGCATGCGTTTTTACTTCAAAACTACAAGTAAAATTGTCGTCGCAATTTTATTCTTGATCTAGCATAACCAGAGAAGAAACGTTCCATAAATTCTATCGAAATATCCCTTATCTAAACCCATTTCGCTAAACCTCTCTGAAATTCGGAACCTTGGACGTGACAGAGAACATGAAGAAAGTCACGCGTTAAAAACAATAGAATTTTGACAGTTGAAAGTAATTTGCATAACCTCACAGCGCACATGGAGAAAGTCACGCGTTAAAAACAATAGAATTTTGACAGTTGAAAGTAATTTGCATAACCTCAGAGCGCATGCTCTCCAGCTGACATAGCCCCTTTAACCAAATTTTCCTAACCATGGGGCTTCGTTCGCGTGCGTGGAGCTCCGCTAGTATTGATTTACATCGCCATTTTTTTTCATGTCAGAGTTCATGGCCGAATTTTGGCTATAAACATGGCGCACTTAAGAAAGAAACGTCAGACAGCCGGGAATGAAACAGATGGCGAACACGCGTTCAAAGAGATTGTAAAAATTAACAAAGGTATACAAATCACTTGGCTTAACAAATTTATTTATCTACTGTTAAAATAATTTTTACAATACCTTAGATAACTTGGATGAGCTGTATTAACATATCAATACCTGAAATTACTGGAATTTTTTCCCCATTTTTTTCTGATTTGTTTGTTTGCCTGTTTATTTATACTTAGCATGCAGTGTCTTTCAGTCAAAATGGCCTCGTATGTAGTTTCTTTACAGTCGCAGATTAGCTTTAGCTCAGTCTGTTTATCGTCTGTTTTTCGTCTTACTTTTAAGTTAATTGCATAAAAAGGATGGCCTTTAGGATACATAATTGTTGAACCTCTTTTCTTAAGATTTTCATTTTTATTTTTGTTCCTTTGTAACAGAAAACAGCTTTTTATCAAAGCTTGACCCCGAACTTGAGGACCACATAAGAAATGGCGGAAACTCTCGGAACGCCATACGGGAAAAAAAACGAGTATGGAACACCCGGATTATACCATACCAGACTCCCTCCTATATGAGTATGTATTTTTCTAGCACTTCTCCTAAGGAGGTAACAGAGACGTTAAATATTTAGACTGCGAAACAGGGCGTATTTTTGCGTACTCAGGTACGCGCGAGCAGTCAAACAAAAGGTCTGGAACGAGCGAGACTGGGGCTGGGGGTGACGCTAAAAATACGCCTCACAAGCCCTAAGGGCGAAGAAAGGCTCGCGCGCTTCGCGCGCGTAGGACTCTTACGCCACGCTTTAGCGATTTTAAGAAAAAAAGAAACCCGAATGTTTTGCAGTCTAGGTATTGAACTCTTAATGACTGGTTACGAAGGAAACCGTTAATTTTGTTTCTCGATGAATCTCAATGTTGCCGAGGCGAAGCTGAAGGAAACATTGAGATTCGAGGAAAACAATGTTTCCCAATTGACCAGTCTTTAGTGATTTGTTATGTAGCTTATGAAGCTGGAAATTCATTAAACCTCGCTGTAACGGCGATCATCTGTCAACATTGGCGGGTATCATTGCATTGTTACCCTCTGACGTCATAGATTGTTTGCAATTTTGCCCGCTCAGAGAGTTTGGCAGGAATCAGTTTCGTTGTTAGACGTCATGTGACCTCGAAGTAACCAATGAGACCGCGCACTGTTAAGAAGAAATTTCCAGCTATATAACAATTTAGCTTATCATGATGACTGAAAACAATAGTGGCCCGATTTGTTTTCAGAGGAATGATCAGTGTGTTGGGTTTCCCTAACGGGGATTCTCATATCACTAGAGATTTGAGGTACGATCCGGGGGCGTACTCCATACGATGCCCTATAAGGACCTGTACGGGGAGGCTCCGATCGAAAGAGGTATCTTTCTCAGGCTTCAGGTTTATGAAAGAGGAGGGATTTCACTAGTTGAAGAATATGAAAGGGAAAGGAAGTCTGTCATTTGGGTCTGTGAAAGGGCCCAAAAGGGGTAACAGATGAATTTTATGGCTTTATAAAGTCGAGAAAACGTCGTGTGATTGATTGCTATTTAAAAGACAGTGCATTTACAGCAATTAAAGGGGATGCAAAGTTCTAAACAAGGTATGTGAGAGGGGCACCATTTGTCAATAGAAGGTATACAGAAGAGGTACCTTTTTCGTGAAAAATGATATATTAAAGGGTAAGGGGTTGGACCTCGGAGAGGAGCCTCCCCGTATAAACATTTCCTAAGTACCTCCTCCCCCCGCATGGGGCTACAATATCCAAAACACAGGGATACCCAAGTCACTGTGACATGGCAACTTTTCAAACAGGCCCTTCGGAACCACGACCGCACTGGCGCGAAAACATCACTTTACCTCGACCTCTTGCACACTAATTATTACTACAGCATTTATCCTGTCTCGTCCAATAATTGAAAAGTAGCCAGGGGAGATACGAAAAATCGAGTCCAGTGGATAGCGTTATCCACCATTTGAACAACTGAGGCCAGGGATTAATTTTTTTTTAAACTTTAACAAGCGAAATTTACAAGTGAAGCTATTGTTTTCAGACTCTAAAACAATAGCTACACTTGTAAATTACACTTGTAAAAGGTTTATGAAATTCACCCCGAAAACCATTGCAGATGGTTGTCCGGTAGCCAGGAGGTAAGTGCTTTAGCCAATCTTCCACTCTGCTTCTTTCTTATCTCGTTGCATGTCATCTGACTGCTAGTCCTCCTACCCCTCTGCTATTGCGTTCGTGTTATTGTTTTGCTCACGGCCCTCCGGATCCTGGACACAAACAACCATGAAAATCCCTTTGCTTACCTGATGACTCCCCAAAATGCTTTTAGCTTGACCTTGTACCCTAATAAACTCCGCAAGCTGTGTTATAATTGTCGTTCCACAAGATCGTAGCTTCCTAGGCTAACAACATTGCTTCGCTTTAAAAGTGGCGCCAATCAGTTTGCGCGAAACTCAGACTTAATTTCTTTCTTAACACACAGGCCATGTCGAGTCTAATGTGTACAAAGCGATTCAGGAATTCCACAGTAAAACATGCATCCGATTTTAATACCACAACAGGGCAGTCCATGGGGGTAACTACATTCGATCTGGAAACAGCGACGGGTAAGTTATCAAAAAAGAGGAACCCAGAGGTGCGCTATGTTTTTTTTGTCTTTTTTTTCTTCTTTTTAAATCAGTTCTTTTCTTAGCAGGATTAAGGCACAAAACTGCTTAAAATAATTACACAAAAAAGGTGCAAATAACTTACTTTGCCTGAGAGGAGCATGGAGGGTTGACTGAATTAAAGGGGAATTACACTGTTCACCTATCAGCTGTCCTGTACAATTTCCCTTTCCCTTCGTGCATGAAATGATGAATGCAATAGGTAATTTTTCACTCGCGTTTCAAGTATGCGATGGATAAAAAGATCATGGGCTGCCCTTATCGCATGTTCTAGCTAGGCGTTCGAGGTTTGCATGCGGGACTACAATGTGATCCACAGTACATGGTTTGCAGAGGTGTAGCCAGCTTTTCGACTAATTGTAGGCTTGGCTGGCTTTCATTTCCACCTATCCTGAAATTTGTACGCATGGCTAGTACGTAGTGACCTTTGGCTCTTAATATAAGTTTTTTTTTTTTACCCCAACAACGCATAATTTATTACAAACAGTAGATTGGTCAAAGCAAAAATTTGTAGTCCCAGGCCATCAGGTCTATGCGCTGGCTACGCCAATGATTGAAGTTGTAGCACTTTTGAAGTATCAATGATGTTTCGTCTCAACAGTCCTTAAACGCACTCCGTTACAAAAACTTTCTTCTTAAGGTGGCTATACACAGTTTTGGCAGTTTGTGAGTATATGTCATTTGTCAAATCATGGCAAGAGAAAGGTTGTAGCTCACAAGCTGAAACTTGGCAGGTGAAAAATATACCGATGAAAGATTTTGATCGACAGGTAAAATGTGACGTTTTGTTGTTTCCATGGCAACAGGAACGATTGAACACAACCTTAAAATTTCACTTTTGCTCAGTTTACATAAAATTCGCTCATTAGATTTTCCTATAAACTTGCAGGCAGCTTACTGTAAGTAATCGTTACCATTTGAAAGTGATTTGACCAAAATTTAACCGACGGGTTTTTAGATAATCAATAATATAATTGTATCGTAATAACTAAACGTATCACAAAATTCTTCTGTTCGACTTCCATTTTAAAGTTCTCATTAATTAAATACGATAAAAGTCAAAATTCCGCCAAATTTCATAAAATTTTAATGAGTAGATTTTTGAGAAACCGTGTTCTGCGTACCAATGCTTTTTTTCGCCGCCGTGTTTGTTTGTCTAATTTAAAACACGCGCCGTTACGCAAGTTACCGCTGACTGCCCGCAAAACTTTGTTCAGCCACCTTAATGCAGGTGAATCAAACTGTGTAATGTGAACGATTCATGGCCGTCTACGACGGTACTACTAAAGAGAGAATGGGTAGCGCGCACGAGAACTACAAAATGAAAAAAGGGAGAATAAGCAATGAAGAGACTGACAGGGTAGTGTTTAAATTACCTTTTGTTCCCGTTCTTCCTTCCTCGTGTTAGTAAAGTCCTGTCGAGGAGTCCTGGTCCTGTCAGTACCCATGCCAGTAAATACAGGTAGTAATCAGTGCCGCATCCAGACCTTGAGATAAGGGGGAGGGGAGGGGGGAGCGGTCTCCAAAAATAGTTTTTCGGCCCTTCGCGCCTCTGTTTGGTCTAAAAATAAGGGGGGTGCCGGGTCCCCCAGGCCACTCCCCTGGATCCGTCACTGGTAATTTAGATCCAGTTGTATATAACATCTTTCATATCTGCTTAAGGTTTCTTCCGCTAGCAACCGAGATAAATATGTCAAGATCTATTGGGAGAACATTCTACCTAGTAAGATATTGCATACAGTAGTAAATCATACTTACGTTCTGTTAACCTGCCATCAGCGACAGACGGCAAACTATTGTTGCAAACTGAAAGCTAAAAAGGTCTATTTATTTTCGGCGACACGATTGAAAATATTGGTTTGATTATACTAGTACTTTGAAATCTACGTGATATCTTTAGAAGTGTTCAGATATCTATTCTGACTTCACTAACACGAGAAAAGGAACAATTCTCGCGCCAAAACCATAAATAATCCGAAACTATCCCTCGAATGCCGCGCGCCCCTTAACTGTGCCGTCAGAATTTCTATTTATTTCTGTCCAATTTGTTCCCATGTTTCTCAAACGTCAGAAATTACATTTTTTTTGGCATCTTTCACCATTCCTGGGGTCTCAGTTACTTTCCAATTGCTATAAAATGCATCAAAAAAGCGCTTTTGAATTTTAGCATGGTGGAGTAATATCATGAATTGCTCCTTCATAGTTAATTGTGCGCAAATATGTCTTTACAAGAAATACGTTAAGCCAAGTGTGTTACCTACCTTACCTACCTAATTTTGTTTTATTTTAGAGTATAAAGACCAGTTTGACAAATATTCGTAGAGGACTCTTGATAATTTGGGCGTGTCCTACGATTATCAGTCTGTCATGCATTATGATAAACGGCAAAACCACCATTGTAGCCATTGGAAACGAGAACATGGAATTTGGAACTCCGAATAACCTTTTAAGTACCAGAGACGCATCGAAATCAATGCTTTATACAATTGCAGAAGTGAGTAGTTATGTTCTAAAGTACCATATTTCGTCCAACTGGCGCACAAGGGAGTACATAGGCAAAGAGGAGTTCTACTTGAGGGGCCTGGTTTATGGTATATTGTATACTAATCATGAATTGTAAATGTTTATCATTATCATTATCATTATCATTATCATTATCATTATCGTTATCGTTATCGTTATCGTTATCATTATTATCATTATTATTATCGTTATCGTTATCATTATCGCTATCATTATCATTATCAGCATCATTATCATTATCATTATTATTATCGTGATCGTGATCGTTATCGTTATCATTATCATTATCTTTATCATTATCATCATCATAATCATCATTATCATTATCATTATTATTATCGTGATCGTTATCATTATCTTTATCTTTATCATTATCATTATTATTATTATTATTATTATCGTTATCGTTCTATCGTTATCATCATCATTATTATCATTATCTTTATCGTTATCGTTATCATTATCATCATCATTATTATTATCGTTATCGTTATCATATCATCATCATTATCATCATTATCGTTATCATTATCATTATCATCATCATTATTATTATCATTATTATTATCATTATTATTATCGTTATCGTTATCGTTATTATCGTTATCGTTATGATGATCTTTAAGGAGGTAACAGAGACGTAAAGTATTTTAGCTTATCACGATGATGCAGTGCTGGATTCAGATCTTGAGATAAGGGAGGGGGGTCATCCAGACCCTTAGATAAGGGGGGAAGGGCGGTCTCAATAAAAATCGGTTTTTCCGGCCTCAGTTTGTTCTAAAAATAAGGGGGGGCTGGGCCCCTTCCCTAGATCCGCCACCGTGATGACTGTAAACAATAGGGGCCTGATTTGTTTTCAGAGGAATGATCAGTGTTTTTGGGTTTCCCTACCGGGGATTCTCATGTCACTAGAGATTTGAGGTACGATCCCGGGGGTACTCCCTATGATGGCCTATACGGGGAGGCTCCGCCTGAAAGGGATACTTTTTTCAGGCCTCAGGTATGTGAAAGGGTAGGGATTTTACTCGTTGATGTATAAAGGGGTAATGGAATCTGTCATTTGGTTCTGTGAAAGATCTGAAAGGGCCCAAACGGGCTGAATTTTATGGCTTTATAAATTCGAGAAAACGTTCTATTTTTGTGATTGATTCTTATTTAAAAGACAGTGCATTAACAGAAGTTAAAAGGGATGCAAAGTTCTAAACAAGATATGTGAAAGGGGTACCATTTGTCAATAGAAGGTATACAGAAGGGGTACCTTTTTCGAGAAAAATTATATATTAAAGGGTAAGAGGTTGGACCTCGGGGCGGAGCCTCCCCGTTTATGTACAAACAGTTATTAAGTAACCCCCACCCTGCGGGTGGTACGATACCCTAAACACAGGGATACCCAAGTCACTGTGACATCGCAACTTTTCAAACAGGCCCTTCGGAACCACGACCTCGGTGGCGCGAACACATCACTTTACCTCGACCTCTTGCACACTAATTATTACTACAGTATTTATCCTGTCTCGTCCAATAATTGAAAAGTAGCTAGGGGAGTTACGAAATCTCGTTGTCTTTAAAAGTAAACTTCTTCCCTTAGAGTTTGGAAAGTTCACGCCATGGTTGTGCTGTGACAGCAGAGAAATCCACTGGAAAAAGTGTGATGCATGAGCCGAGTTCTTGTTTTGCTTGTTTTAAACTAAGTTATTACTGCTTAAAATTGTGGGCGTTCTCTATGCCCTCGTATATAATCTCTGATATTATCGGGGCCGTTTATGCTTACTATCAACCAGGCCCGTGTTGTTCAAACGTTAGATAGCGCTATCCAACGGATAAATTACTATCCAGCGGATAAGTATTAGCGAAACCAATTGCGCTATTCAGTGGATAGAGATTTATCTGGTGGATAACGTTATGCACCATTTAAACAACTGAGGCCAGGGGTTAATTTTTTTAAAAACTTTTAAAAGCGCAATTTACAAGTGTAGCTATTGTTTTCAGACTTTAAAACAATAGCTACACTTGTAAATTACACTTGTAAAAGTTTTATTAAGTTCACCCCGGGAACTATTTCAGATAGTTGTCCGGTAGCCGGTTTGTAAGTGCTTTAGCTAATTCGCCACCCTACTTCTTTCCTATCACGTTACATGTCATCTGACTGCTAGTCCTCCTACCCCTCTGCTATTTGGTTCGTCTTATTGAAATTTTATTGTTTTCTCACGGCCCTCGGGAACTAGGCCACAAACAGTCATGAAAATCCCTTTGCTTACCTGGTAATTCCCCAAAATGCGTCTAGCTTGACCTTGTACCCTAATAAACTCCGCAAGCTGTGTTATAATTGTCGTTCCACAAGATCGTAGCTTCCTTATGCAAACCTTCTCAGGGCCTAGTTACTAAGACTTTATTTATTTAATTTCTTGACACACAGGCCATATCGCGTGTGATGTGTACAAAGCCATTCAGGAATTCCACAGGAAAACATGCATCCGATTTCAATACTACGACAGGGTAGTCCATGGGAGTAACTACATTCGATTTGGAAAAAGCGATGGGTAAGGTATCAAAATATCAAAAAGGCATTATCTAGATATTTTTCTTTCTTTTTCAAAAAATACTTTAAATAATTATACAAAAAAGATGCAAACAACTTAATTTACCTGAGAGGAGCATGGAGGGTGGAGGTAAGTTATTCACCTATGAGTAGCCTGCGTAGCAGGCGTTGAAAGGGGTACGGGATACGGAAGAAGGGGAAAATGGAGGGGGTTGGGGAGAGAGGGTAATGGCTCACTTCCCTTTTCCCTCTTTTCGCGCTTTTTTCTCCCTCCCCTCCCTCTCCTTTTGCGCCTGCCACGTAGGCTACCTATGAGCTGTTCCTATGAGACCCTTTCCTCCCTCCCCCCCGAAACTTTCTTTCTCCTCCTGGTTAAATGCGCACGTGAATAGGAGTGCCCAACTACTTTGTTGTTTGAAGTGAATCACTGTTCTAATGAGCAAATATAAATATTTCCTAGAATTTTCTAAAGCCCGAGAAAGGCTAAACCTTTCTGGATAACCGTTTCATTCGTCTAAGATATTCACTGTTTTTTACCTTTATACAGAAAATAACAACTACGGCTACTCCTGTCCTAGAACTTTTGATCGGACCAATCAGGATTGAAAAAAAAATCCAATAACCTTAAAAATTGTCCAGACGAGCAAAATTCTCCTAAGACAACCCATTGGATAAAATAGTTTCTAGGGCAGCTCAAAATTAACCACTCCGGCTTCTAAAGCATTAAGAGAAAACCATTTGAGAAACTTCAGAAGTTTTTCTTTTCTTCATCTCAACGTTCAGTCGTTTTAGGTGTTCATCAAAGGTGGGAAAGCGATATGCTGAAAGCGGCTATCAAGAAATCTCCATTGCTGATGGCTTTATGACGTCCCAGCGATCGTGTATGAAATGATGCATGCAACAGGTAACTTTTTTCTCTCGCGTTTTTATGCGATAGACAAAAGATCAAACGATCATCGGGTGCCCTTATCGCATGTTCTAGTTAGGCGTTCGAGGTTTGCATGCAGGACTACAGTGTGATCTATATTACATGGTTGGGGTCGTAGTACTTTTGAAGTATGAATGACGTTTCTTTTCAACAGTTTTTAACTTTGCTTTATTGCACTCCGTTAAAAAAACTTTACTTTCAACGCTAGTGAACCAAATTGTACAATATGTGAACTAGTTGTGGCCATCTACGAAGGTATTATTACTATAAAGAGAGAATGGGTAGCGCGCACGGGGAACTGCAAAATGAAAAAAAGGGAGAATAGGCGCTGAAGTTATTGACAGGGGTACGGTTTAAATTACCTTTTGTTTCCATTTTTTTTTTAGATTCCCATTCACTGGGTTCGTTTCCGTTCTTCGTTCCTCGTTTTAGTCCTGTCAGTAGCCATGCCAGTAAATACAGGTAGTAATTTAGATTCAGTTGTATATAGCATCTTTCACATCTGCTTCCCGAGGTTTCTTCCACGAACAATCAAGAAGCGACCGAGATAAATATGTCAAGATCTATTGGGAGAACATTCTACCTAGTAAGATATTGCATACAGTAGTACGTTTTGTTAACCGGCCATCAGCGACAGACGGCAAACTATTGTTGCAAACTGAAAGCTAAAAAGGTCTATTTATTTTCGGCGACACTACTT